GGGACTACAGGTGCATGCCACTACACCTGGCTAATTTTTGTATTTTTTGTAGAGATGGTTTCACCATGCTGCCCAGGCTGGTCTCAGACTCCTGGGTTCGAGCAATCTGCCTGCCTCGGCCTCCCAATGTCCTGGGGTTACAGGCATGAGCCACCACACCCAGCTGGAAACTTACTTTTTGTTGGCACTATGCCCCTGCTGTCCCTAGATTCTGCGTTTATTTCAGATTGGCTTGCACATAATGAGAGAAAGCATGAGCATGCACATTTTGATAAGCTCTGTTGCACTTCTTTTTTCCATCCTAGTTCTTTTGAAAGTGGCACACTTGCTTCTACAGAAGATACATGGGTAAGTCTTCTTTCTTTTCATCCTGCTATTCAATCAGTGGTCAGGATTTATTGAACCTTTGCTGGAAGCCAGCACCTCCCCAGTCCCAGGGTCCTGCCAAAGAATGGAGAATGTGAAGTGTCGCTGGTATAGAAATCTTGTCCCTGACTGGGCAACAGCCCACAAATGGCCCTGTGCCACAGGAGTAGCCCTTCCTACCACCCCTGCACCTGCCTGTATGAGTCGTGGCCCCTCATCCCCACAGATGTCAGGAGGCCAAGGCAGTGGGGTTAGGCTTAGGTTCTGACACCTGTCTCAGTCCTTCCCAGCCTGGTGTGTGTGCTTGATCTGTTTCTCGCTTGTTTTCTTATAGCCACGTAAGCAACAATGAGGTACGAGGAGAAAGTGTTCAGGTCAATGAATGACATATCCATTGTTGGGGGGCACATAGGCTGGGGAGAGATGAATGGAATCCCACATTGGAATCTTCTGTGCATTTCCCCATGGCAATACCATCCTTGATGCCTGCAGCCTTGGGCACATAGGCACCAGAAACACATTTGCAGTGTACACGCTACAGCACCGTCCTTGGCATGCACGTTTGTTACGTAGGACTTAGCCGGCCAGGTGAAGGAGCCAGTCAGAATTCTAATGTGTGCTTTGGGATTGATGTAGAAACATCTTTTTGGATTATAATCTATTAACTTGGGTCTTGCCTATATTTGTCCATTTTGGCAGTGGATGTTATAAATACAAACGTTCTGTGACACATGGATGGGAAGCTTATTTCTTAAATAAGAAATGCGCCAGCCTCACCCTCTTTCTTGTGGTTTGGCTGTTTATGGGCCCCTGGTGAGTATGTGTGTGCTGGACAGGGAAGGCGCTGGCAGTAGTGGAGCACCTCAGTGCCCCGGGTCACACATCTTCTATTTCTTTTAATCCCCGTGGCCTAAAAGCCCTCCCTGCCTGTCTGTGTGGCCCGTGGTTTTGCTGGGGCCTGTGCTCGGGTGTGTGTGCTCCCTGGACACTGCATGGCCCGTGGTTTTGCTGGGGCCTGGGCTCGGGTGTGTGTGCTGCCTGGACAGAGGGGGCGCTGGCAGTGGGAGGAGGCTGTGGGATGAGGGATGCCCTTTTGAAATCAAGGTTGATGTCATGCCAAGTGGGGACAGCATGGGGCTTTCTCTGAATCGTGGTCTCGCGCTGATTCTCTGAGCCTGTTGCTCTTTGTCAGCAGTGGGACCCTCACCAAGCCATCACCGGCAGATGGTGACTGTCCGGAAGCTCTGTTTCCGTGTGGGCCACTGAGAATGCTTTAAGGTCGGCCAGCTGGGGAAGCACCCAACCAGAGCCCCAAGACTTGTGAGGGCGGGAGGGGGAGAGAGCCGTCCGAGGCAGTGTCCTTCTCCTGTTCTGTCACCGGATTCTTGGCTGTGACCGAGGAAATGGATGAACTTCCACGTGCCCAACAGCTTTGGGGTTTTCTGTCCTTGCAGCATCGACCCCGTGCCCGAGTCGTCCTTTCCTCAGTACCTCGACGTGCTGGCTCCTTACGTGAACCAAGTGAACCTCATCCGCGCGGGGGTCCGAAAGATCGTGAGTTGGTCTCATTTGGCCCCCTTGCCCTGTTCAGAGTTCAGAGCCTTCGCTGGGAAGCGGCCAGTGCTCTCTGGTACTCGTGAGAGGGATTTCAGTGGTTGAAGAAATAAGAGCTGGCTTTTCCTTTCCTCTCATGTTTCTCCACCAAGGCCAACATGGACTCATCCTTCCTTCTCTTCCCCTCCCCACCCCAAGCAGAGCCTTTCCTAGTTTCTCTTGAGATCTTCGGACTGGATAAGAAGTCAGGAAGCACTGTGGAAAATCTCTTGTGTTCTGCATGTTTTCTAGAATTTTTCTGGTCCAGATTATCCCAGTATCCGACCTCCCATCCTCATCCTCAGCATCAAAAGGTGGCCCGGGGTCAGCGAGCAGCAAGTCTACCATAAGTTTCAGAATCTCTGCAAGTTTGATGTCAGGCGACTCACAAGAAGCCAGTTCTTACTCCTGACCAATAAGTTTAAGGAGTAGGTGCCTCTAAGTCCGCGTCCCCCACGCCTCCTGCATTCATCCCTGTATGTCTCTGACTCCACCCGCCTGATCACAGCAGGCGGCGCGATCCTGTTGCCTGGCTGACCATAGCAAACTTGTTTTGGCAGCGTGCGAAACGTCCTGAAGGAGTACCGGGGCCACCCGACCCTGTGCATCTCCCTGTACCGCTACTGGAGGCACTCCCCAGACGTCAACTGCGTGCTCCAGTAAGTGCTGGGCTGAGGCCGCCCGCCTGTCCCGGGGTCCCAGCATCCCAGCGTGGTCTGACTCGAGCACAGCTCGCTCACTGGTGTGTGTTGCCAAGGGGGTTGTTGACGAGTGTGGTGCCCTGAACATCATTCAGTGATACTCACCGCTTGTCTGTGGAGTGCCTGGTGTGCTGGGCACCGTCGTAGTTCTGGGGCCTCGTCAGTGAAGCAGAAAATTCCCGCTCTCATGGAGTTTACGTGCTGGGGGAGATAAACAGGATAAACGAGTATACCCTATAACGTATTGGGTGACAAGTGTTTATTAAAAATGAGAGAAGGGTCGGGGTGGATGGCAGGCTGCAGTTCAGAGGAGCTGATGGGGGTCCTCATTAGAGACTTGGAGTGAGCCAGACAGAGGGGACAGCAGGGCGGGGCCTTCCAGTCAGGAGGCGCCAGGAGAGTCACAGGGAAAGGCCGCTGTGAGCAGAACAGCAAGGAGGGGACACGGGAGAAGGAACTGGGGCCCCCCAGGTGGGGTCTCAGGAGAGAGGGAATCGCGGAAGTTACGGCAAGAAGGTCGATGACCCGACTCAGGTTGTCTTCCATGTGGGGTAGACCATAGAGGCAGCGCTGTGAGAGCGGTCAGGAAGGAGATGCTTCAGCTGGGTCACAGCTCAGTGCAGCCGGGGGCAGCGGGGTGGAGTCAGCGACAGACCAGAGAAGGATCAAGTGGGAATCCAGGGTTCGGGTCCTGAACAACTGGAAAGGCAGAGTTGCTGTCAGTTGAACTTGGTGAGGTTCTGGCTTGTGGGTTAGGGGCCACATCCGTTAGAAAACAACATTGCTGAAGAAACACACTGAGCTCCGCTGCAAACCCTTTTTCTTTCAACCTGCGGTTTGCATCCCAGAGCCAGCCTAACCTTGAGAGGCAGAAGTTCAGCATTGGCACCGGGAGAGTGACGAAGAGGAAGAACATCTGAGTGCACAGGGCTGGGAAGGAAGAGGGGCGAGCCTGCGTCGGTGCCTCTCGGCCTGCTGGGTGCCCCGGCCACTGATACGTGTCATTGTCTTGCAGAGTCTGTGGCATAGTGACTGCCTGGGCCCTTCTCGCGTTCATCTTCGGAAGATCTGGTCCCTGAGCGCAGCGAGGCCTCCTGCGGCCACCCTCAGGTCCCCGTGCTCTCTGGAAGGTGTGCTGGCTGTGTTTGTGTAAATCAGATTCTGTTTGCAGATGGATCTGTTTGGTCGTTTCTAGAAATTCTGTTATGTCCTGAACACGAAATTCTGTCAGCACTCTCAATGATAAATCAGCCGTTGGGTATCATACCTGTATGTGTGGCCAGAACTTTTCTTTCTGTAAATGCAGGCAGAGCAGTCAGCACCTTGGGATTTAAGCTCATGTGTCACAAGCAGGTCATTGTGCTAGGAGCTGGACACCAGATGGAGAGAAGGCGACGTTATTTCTGGGAGAAAAACTAATGGCTTATTACTGGCTGTTGTTGACTTAGTTCTGAGAAATGGCCTTCCTAAGTTTAGTAAAGGAAGGAGGTGAAGCTCGGAAGAGGGAAAGTCGTGTGCAGTGGGGACATTTTTGATAAGCGTTATAAACTGTAAAACGTTCACATGCATTTAGAAACAGTGACGCGCAGGCAGCCCCAGTGTGCGCCTTCGATGCCGGCACCGTCGGACGCTGCGTCTCCTCCGCAGCGGTCTGCGCTACACTCGGCTTTCTCGGTAGCTTTTCTCTGTGGGGATCTACACTCGGCTGGGCTCTTTGCTCAACCTGGAGCCTCACTTTTGAGGGCTCTGCAAAGCTGATTTAAATTCAGCCTGGGAGACACTTTTCCTCTAGAAAAACAAGTATTAGTGGTAGTAGCTGTCCACAGGAGGGTGTGGGAACTGCTTTTCCAGAGGTCACACCACTTTCCTGAGGGATGAAGCGCCCAGTGGCCCCACAGGATCCTCTGCAGCTCATGGTCCAACCAGCCATGCCACACCCCAAACAGCAGCTGCTTCCTCACCTGCTCAACCCGCATCGTCGGGGCAGTGTCAGGGTGTTGGTGTTTTTGTTTTTTGGGTTTTTTTTTTCACTGAATGTGACTTGTTTTGAGACAGGGTCTCTGTCACCCAGGTTGCAGTGCAGTGGCACGATTGTGGCTCACTGCAGCTTCTACCTCCAGGGCTCAAGCAGTCCTCCCACCTCAGCCTCCCGAGTAGCTGGGACCACAGGTACATGCCACCACACATGACTCATCTAAAACAATTGTTTTCGTAGTGATGGGGTCTCCCTATGTTGCCCGGGCTGATCTTGAACTCTTGGCTTCAAGCCATCCTCCCGCCTCAGCCTCCCAAAGTGCTGGGATTACAGGCGCGAGCCACCACGCCAGGCTGATTGATTGTAGCTTTGCTGAAGATAATTCCACTTTTCTTTCATGGACTTTGGGCTTGACTGTTTGGGTAAGCCCTGCATTAAGTAATCTTGCAAGTCCCTCTTAGAGGCCTGGCTTGAGGGCTGTTTGGCATCCCAGCGGTGGAGCAGGGTCGGGCACGTTAAGCTTTTCCATTGAGCTCTGGAGTTGGAGGCACTCAGCGCTTTTGTAAGGCCTTGTTCATTCACCTCTTCTCTGTCCAGCATGTCTTCACTGGACACCTGCTGTATGTTCTTCCGTGCACCACGCTGTGGGCAGGGTCCTCATGTCTGTGGTGACCTGGCTGACCCCACAGCCCTGCATGGCACCTGCTGCTCCCTAGGACACCCCTGAGCTGGAAGAGCCGGAGGCTGTGCCACAGCCAGGCTTTGTTGATCAAGTTTACTTTCTGAGTTTACTGCTGACCAGGGCACTGCTCAGAATTGCTGAGTGGTTTGGGGCCTCCTGCCCTTAGCAGCTCTTGCCTTGCCTAGGTGGTGGTAGGGGGACAAGGCAGGCTCTGAATCTCTCCCAAGGTGTTCTCCCCGCTCCCGTAGCTCTTCAAGGCTGTGTTTTACCTGCAGGTCTCTCTCCCATCATTAAATGAATATAACCGAAACAAGGCAAAAAGCCAGCCGTTCTTCTCTCCTTCCCTAACTCTGTCCCCTCTCCCTGTGGCCCAGCTGCTCTTCCCTTTCCGTTCAGGCTTTCGAGCATGTGCGTTCCATCTTTCCCGCCCCTACGTGCCCGGGGGCCCATGCCGGTCATTAGGACCCCCTGGCTTCCTTCTCACTCCTCTACGGCCCTGGATGGTGCAGCTGCTCTGGACGTTCTCCCCGAGTCTCTGGTCACTCTCTTCTCGGTTGCCCTCAGCTCTTCCCCTGGCCCTTTAGATGTTGATATTCAAGGAACTGGCACCGTCTGCCGTGACAGTGCCAGGCCCTAGCATGACTCTGAAGTTTGTTCTCAGCTAACGTCTGTCTCCTGGGTCCCAGGTCACCTACTGAGCCTCTGGATTTTCCCAGACATGCCACGCTCCACACAGGCAGGATGGATCACTGTCCTTCCAAGTCACCTGCCTTGATGGAGGTTGTGAGCATCTCCCCAGCTGTAGCCTCCAGCTCCTAAATTCTCCCCACCTCCCTGCCCCGCTTCTGAGCAGCCACCCACCTGTAGCTCCTAGACTCTCCCCCCATCCCCGCCCCTCCTTTAAGCAGCCACTCACTGGCAGCTTCTGTCTTCCTGCAGTCCTCCTGGCTGTCCAGACCCCCTTCACATTACCTAGACAGTTTCAGGGCTCTCCTCCTCGTCTCGCTTTCCTGCTGTGGCCCTCACGGACATAAGTGGGCTCTGGAAGGCAAATCTGGTCATCTCTCCTGCCCAAGGCCCTTCTGTGGATTCTGCACCAAGTCCACAAGCCTTTTCTCTCTGCATTTGGGGTCCTGCCGTCTCTCTGGTCCCCCACGGGTGTCTGTCCTTGGGCTCACTGTTTATTTATCTTCCTCTTCCCTGAGTCACCCACTGCTCAAGACCCAGCTCAGCGGACATCTCCTCTAGGTTCTAGGCCACTGTCGCCTGCTGTACCTGTCAGGTGTCAGGGGCTCACCCTGCCTCTGAGCACCTCTTGCCTGTCCCTGCTGGAGCACTTGGTGCTGTGTGGCAATGTCCCCTGGCCTGGCCCTGCACAGGCGGGCACTGGAGTCCTGGAACCTGCAGGGGCTCTCAGTATCCTCACAAAACAGTGCTCCCCGTGGCTGGAGCCTCTGCTGCGTTTTTCGACAGGGATTCGAGTTTGTTGCTGCTGCTCAGGTGAGGTGCTTTGAAAATGGCATTGAGTAACTGATGTGCTTCTGCTTCTGCGGCAGAGGGAAAAGACAAATGACAGCCTCCAAATCTCCCCAGCCCACGGTGTTCTCACTGACCCACGCAGCCTGATCACTTAGAAGTGATGTGATTTCATGTCCTTGTTCTTATAATTTTAGTTCTTGTTTGTGGTTTAAATTATTTCCATGAGATTTTTTGGTATGAGAAAGAAGTGACTAGAAATAGCCTTAAATGATCTTAAAATTAGCTAATCTTTCTCTTTACATCCTTCAAGTACTAAGTTCGGGCTGCTGTAACAAAAATAACCATAGACAGGGTGGCTTTAAAAACAGAATCTTATTTCTCACAGTTCTGGAGGCTGGGAACTCTGAGATCCGGCACCAGCTGATCCGGCTCCTGGAGAGAGCTCTCTTCCTGGGCTTGCAGAGGGTGGCCTTCTTGCTGCGTCCTGACGTGGCAGAGACAGCAAACATCTGTCTCACATCTCTTCTTATAAGGGCACTAATCCAATAAGAGGGCCCCACCCTCATCACCTCATCACCTCCCAAAGGCCTCACGTCCTAAGGCCATCCCCTTAGGGGTTAGGATTTCAACCTAGGAATTTGGGGGAAACACAAACATTCAGTCCATAGCAAGTATCTTTCCTTTTCTCTGAAAGATACAGAGGTTCATGCCACTTATTGTTACTACAGAAACCTTTTCTCTTTCTCTGTGGTCTTTTTAACTCATGAGACAGCAACACCAATTTTCTTGGCATGAAATATGTGGTAGAGGTTGTAAATTTTGAGATACTTTCTGACTAAGGGGGAAAAAAGGCTGTTACTTTCTAACCACGAAAATCCTTGGTGTAATTTTTTATAAGTTTGTCTGAAAATCCACGGTAATACTAATTAAAACCTCATTTTTTTGTGTGGTGGTGACTTGCCAAATTAAAAATTATCTGGGGCCAGGCATGGTGGCTCACGTTTGTAATCCCAGCACTCTGGTAGGCCAAGGCAGGCGGATCACATGAGGTCAGGAGTTTGAGACCAGCCTGGGCAACATGTTGAACGCCTGTCACTGCCAAAAACTACAAAAATTAGCTGGAAGCAAGGTAGAGTGGCTCACACCTGTAATCCCAGCACTTTGGGAAGCTGAGGCGGATGGATCACCTGAGGTCAGGAGTTTGAAACCAGCCTGGGCAACATGGTAAAACCCTATCTCTACAGAAATATAAAAAATTAGCCAGGCATTGTGGCGGGCACCTGTAATCCCAACTAAGGGAGCCGAGGCAGGAGAATCACGTGAACCCAAGAGGCAGGGCTTGCAGTGAGCCAAGATCACGCCATTCCACTCCAGCCTGGGCAACAAGAGGGAAACTCCATCTGAAAAATAAACATAAAAATAAAAATTACCCAGACGTGTACATGCCTGTGCTCCCAGCTACTCGGGAGGCTGAGGCCAGAGAATCGCTTGAACCCGGGAGGCAAAGGTTGCAGTGAGCTGAGATCATGCCACTGCATTCCAGCCTGGGCAACAGAGTGAGACTCCATTAAAAAAAAAAAAAATTATTTGGGAAAAATAAACATAACAATCGGGAAACTTCTGAAAAAGAAAAGTGATGAAGATGACTTGTCCCACCTGCCGTATGGCAGTACATTGATCAAAGCTGTGCATTTTCTACCATTTTCACATCGCTGAGATTGGGTTATTTCTTACAGTCAATGGTGTGTGTTAATTTAATTGGTGTTTTCTTAATGTGCACAAACTGGTGCCTCTGTGATTACATGTTGATGAAACTGGCAGAAAGTTATAATTAATACATTGTGAGATTGGCATAGTAATAGAATATAGGTAAGAAATAGACTGTGTCTGGGAATTTTGCTGTGATAAAGGTGACATATGAAATCTGGGACAAAGAGGCATTTAGAAAAAAAGCCAATTCTTTAGTCTTTACACCAGAATAAATTAGACATGTCATATACTTAAGGTTAAAAAAGGCAAATCATATAAAATGAAATGAAACGATTTAATCTTGGGATGAAGAAACACTTTCTAAGCAGAAAACAAAAGCCTCAAGTGGTAATGAAATAGTTGATTAATTTGGTGCAA